TGTTGTGTGCAAGAGTTTGTGTACAATTGTTATTTCAAACAATTGCGGAAAGTAAACATACAACAATTATTAAAGCCATGGAATAAAGCATGTTATAAAAGCATGGAAGGGTAAAAACATAATTTCAAGTTTTTATTTATTAAACTAGTCCATCACTAAATGGGATCAACTCTCTAGCTTCCCCAGTGGAGTCACCATTTGTCGCTGCCGTCAAAAGAGGTGGTCGGAGCGACGCGATGGTTTTGAATGACTCGTATTTTTTTAAAAAGCGGTTCAAAGCCTTTAGGTTGTCCGATAACCGGGCTAGGCCTAAAGGCAAAGTTTGGGGGAGTCGCCATCGATGTTTTTACCATAAACATCGAGAAAGGAAAAAAAGAAGAAGACATTGTTTTAGAAAAAACCAACTTTGGTCATTACAACCAGAGAGTCAGGTAAGAGAGTTAGTTACGTGTGGGGAAGATGTTAACACCCCACAATACCCTTTTCGGGTTCCCTATGATGGACTAATTTAGAAAATAAATACTTAAAGAAATTATCCTTTTATCCTATTATTTTACCTACTTGCAGAATTTAAAAATCTACATGACTCTATTATCTAATGCATACAAAGAAAGTGATAAAGAAAGCAGTAAAAGAGAGAGAATAGGGAAGGAACCTCCGAAGCAAGCTTTATATTAATCCTTCGAAACTTGAGGACACTTTTTGGCAGTCCCCGCACTCTACAGGCACGCTCCTCCCGCAAAAGATAAAATCTCACTCTACTAAGGGTCGAATGTCTCAAAAGGATACTTCCTTAACCGATTTCTACCTTAAACGAAAATCGAAAAGCTCACTCGAACTCTGGAATAATGCTCAGAGTTACTCAAAAGTGCCAAAAGGCTTCCTAGAGGGTGGTAGGAGTGAAAAGATGTGAAAAATTTGAGGAATGAGGCTCCTATTTATAGGGAACCGCACCAGGAAAAAGTGGATGGCCGTCTAGACTTAGTGGACAGCCGTCCATGGCCAAAAGTTGCCATGGACGGCCATCCAGGCTAAGTGGACGGTCGTCCATCGCCTTAAAGTAGGCATGGACGGCTGTTTGACTGTCCTAGATGGCCATCTATTGTTTCCGATGAAATTTACAATTTTTATTGCCTCTGAAAACCCTTCCTATCTTAAATGGAACCTAGAAAAATCTACTAGGGACTTAATAAAATCTTGACCATCTTTGAAACGGGCGATCTCTGGCTTTATTGGGGAGTCTGACAAGATTTGGGGTCTATAAAGCTCTTGCAGTTAAAAATGTCATAAAAAAGTTTGATTTTCATTTAAGGGGACATCACTTTAAAGTTCAAATGGACAACTCATCTTTTCCAAAAATATTCTAGAATTCATAAACAAGACGTCATCAAATCCTTAAATTCTCAAACTTAAGGATTTATTTTCCATGTATGATTTTTTCTATTAGACATTTTAAAGGAAACCAAAACCTAGTTTCAAATATCCTCTCAGGGTCTGGAAAAAATGTCCAAATCATTTATGCTACTCACAGTTTCCCTCTGATATTCATGGTAAAACCTTTGTCACCCAAAGCTAAAATGATAAAAGTTTATCCTCCTAAATTAACACCAACATCTCTTGCAAACATTCTCCAATATGCAAAATCTCACTATTTCTACTTCCTCCATGAAACTATGAAGTTCAAATATTCTCCAACTGCAATCTTTGATCCTAAAATCACTTCTATAGGAATTCTAAAATTATTTTGAGCTTGGATGAGATATTTGTGAATCAACTATTTGGATCATTTGGTGTAATATTGTCCAATACATTATACCCATTGTCTTAAAAACTAAGATGACTTACGAAATTTTGATAGATCCATGCAAAGAGAAGTTTTACTTCTGAACTTTAATGGAATGGTTCCCTCCTTTATCATGGTGGAGACAATAATTAAAAAGGATCTTAGGCATAAAAGAGTAGAGAAGAATATATAATGAACCACTTGACTCTATGACTCTGTCTTCATGATCCATCTTCCACACTTTCAAAATCCTATAGAACATTTGTGGTAAAAAAATGAAGTTTATATTTGGGAAACCTTTAAAACTTTCCCATTTGATGAAGTTACAAAATTCAGCTTACTCGTCATCTTTCTAAATTCAACAAGTGTGATCATAAGCCCCTCGATCCAAATCTTGTCAGCTCTCCTCAAAAGCCTCTCAGCTTTTATCCTTTGAACCAGATAATTCCAAAATATAATAATCCTCAACAAATAAAATTTTTCAAATCAACAACAAAACTTTATGTTCCTGATGAAGAATTTCAAAAGGTTAAAGACTTGGCAAACAATTAAAATGAAGAATTGATAAAAGAAATGATAATGCATAAAAAGATGTATCCTTATTGGCATCGAATTCACGAAAGCTTGATAATGAATAAAGCTCAACAGATGAATCACTCCACCTCCACATGATTTGACTAAAAGTAAAGGTTTAGGTCAATGACTATCAATCAAACTACCAAAATAGATTCACTAATTTTTACACATGTCCATTACATTAACTGCGAACATGTTAATGAGGATAAGATTGAATCAACTTTACTTTATGTATAAAGTTGTTGGTCATAGTAGGTATGAATAATAAGAGGAAGTCTCTAATATCCATTTATTCCACAATTTAATGATCAAGATGAATTACCTGTTTTAGATCAATAAATTACTAAAAGAATTAATGATGATAATGGAGAGCAAGTTTATTTTGAAACTAAATTGATCTCTTCTTTTATCGTTTATATATTAAATTGTTATATTTAAAATATAAAATTAATTTCATTATTATCATTTAAAATTTAAAAATATATTTTTTATTTTTATTTAAACATTTTTTAATTAATTGTTTTGATTTAGACACATTAATAATTTTTTAGTTTTCAATTAGGTCAAAATTGACTCGTTATTCTATTGGCTAACATATGATTAGATTAGATAAAAAAAATTATGATTTGTTTAAAAATATAAGTCAAGTTAGGTCATATTTTTTATATTTTTTTTATTTAACCTATAAGATTATGCCAAGCTAAGTTAGACTCCCCAATTTTAGAGTTTTTTCTAAGAATTTTGTGTATATATAAAAAAAAACTTTTAATCCCTAAACTAATTCTAAGTGGTATTCCTTTATCTTAAAAATTAAGATGAATTTAATATTACCCATGAAGACCGAAATTTATCCTTAAAAATCATCTTCTTTACCATGAAATTTTATAATTTTTTATTTAATTTAAATTTCTTCAATTTAAAAGTATTAAAATATTGTATTATTTAGTTTTAGTGTTTTATTTTATTTTTTTAATTTAAGTTTAACAATATAGAATTAATATAATTCTTAGTTTGAATTTTAATTTTTTATTGATGTAGAAAAAAATTAGTAGACCAATTCAAATAAATAATTTTTTTTAGAAAGATTATAATATATTTTCTTAATAAAATTTTAGAAGATACTTTCTTTGACATTGTCCCACCACTTTCCTTATACCCAACGCAAGAGATTAAAGATATATTTATTTTTTATTTATTTTAAATCAAATACTAAAATGTTGATTATTTTTTAATGTAAGAATGATACAATGATTAATATTATAAAAATATTTTATGAAAAGAAGAAAAATCGTTCACTATTAATCTTAAAAATAAAATTTGCCATATAATATATAGAATGGAGGAAACCGTACAGGCCCATTGTTCTGTAAAGCCCAAACAATCTCAAGTTTGTTTTAGCGTAAAACTAAATAACTATTTCAATTTGGATGACTTTTTTTTTTTCTTCTTTATTTAAGAGAGGATTGATGATTGGGTTGCCAAACAATTTAGACATTAGCAGTATCCATCAAACATATTAAAGGTATATCTCAACTAGCTTCTTTATAAGATTTCTTTAAAATAAAAATAAAATAAAATTAGTTTTTTCACAAGTTAAAATTAGCTTATATGAATAGGTTGAAAATAAAAATAAACTACATAAGAAAGTCTCCACAATTAATTTATACACATACTAATTATAACTGATGAAAAGGTAAATTTTTATTTTTCATGTTTTTTAAATTGGTCCAAACATAACATATTTGACAATATATGAGATATTAAATTTGATGTCATTACGGATTAAAAAAAGACAGGATGGATAAAAGTGCATGCTAATTATCATGATTAAATGTTTGACCATAATTAAATTAATATTAGACCCATTTCAAGTTTTATATCTTATTTATCAACTAAATTGTAATCATAGATGAATTATGTTAATTTCTTATTGATTAAAATAGTAAGAAGGTAGATATTTCTTCAATTTTTAAGATGGTATCAAGCTGTTATTCGTACAAATCTCACCATTGTTAAACGGTTTTGTAGAGGTGAATTAATTAATTTTTCGATTTATAACTCCTACTTCTCCTTTGTTAACCAAACTAATAATTTAGAATAAAAAATAATGACAATTACGTAAACAAAAGTGTCAATAATTGACAGTGTCGAATACACGTTACTCTTTATTTAAACACTTGCTGCATCCATCACTTTATCACTTTAGTTTTATGAAAAGGCAATTGAGAACATAACAATATGAAAATAACTAAGACAAACACTTTTTTGGTACCATTTTTACATTTATAAAAAGCACACCCATACACATATCACATTAATATATAAAAGAGAAAAAGAAAAAGCAGAAAATGCACTTACACCGACGTCCAGTTTTCCAAAACGTTGGACAGTGGCGACGTGACCTAACAACAGAACTATGCCAATGCCACTACACGATATTTTCAATTTTCCATTATATTTAATCAAGCATATGTAGTAAGCAAGTTCCAACACTAATAATACAACATAAATTATCATCATAAACTTTGCCTCACCCTAGCTAGAACACTAATATTTACCCTCACTCAATAATGATTCCATTCCACTGTCGCACAACAACAACAGAACAATCTTAATTTCTCAGATTCCTCACCACAGAAACATGTTGTCTGCAGTGGCCACAATTGGTTGGTTAAGGTAGGCCATGTGCATGGGATTCAAGAAATTATTGTTGTTATTGTTATAGTAATGATGATTGTTATGATAATCATTTATGGTTGTTGTTGTTGTTGTTGCGTTGATGAGATTTATGATGTGATTGAGTGAGTGAAGGCTTTGGCTAAGTTCACTCTTCTGGGCCCTCAGAATGGAGTTTTGAGCCTCGAGCTTGAGATAGTGCTGGGTGGTGATGTTGACTTGGGTCAAGACTAGGCTATTTTCCTTCTGGAGACGCTCCACTTGTGCAGTGAGATCATCCAAGTGCTGCTGCTTTCGCATCCTGGATCTTCTGGCTGATTCACGGTTCGATTGCTTTCTCTTCTTTTTTCTTTGCTCCATCAGAAGCTGCAGATCCTCCTCAGATCCTGAACTCTGCATGAACTTTGTGGACATGCTAGAGGTTCCACAGGATGAGGCCATCACATACGCAATTTACAGTTACACCAAAGTGAGTACTTGACTAGAATAGAAACAAATGAAAAAAAAAAAAAAAGAAGAAGAAGAAAATTTTGAAAATTTTGACTGAGACGCAAGACCCCAGGTAGAGAATGATTTTAATTTAGCTAATAGGATACAAGATTGTTATTATTATTATACTATTTTTCCAATATATATATGGGATGGTATACATATAAAGGGAAGTGGCGTTGGGGGGGTTAATTATGAGAAAACATAGAACCAATAGAGGAAGCAAACTGAGAAAGATTGAACTAAGTGGGTCCTGCGTCTGAGGGAAGAATTGATTATAAACCCGGAACGAAGGATTTCACTGAGGACTGGAGACATTAATGTAAAACATGAACATATATATTAGAGGCGTTGATCAATCTTGAAGGGAAGAAAGAAGAAGAAGCTTTTGAGCTTCAACGGAAAGAAAATGGGAAGGAGAGTAGTGAGTGGAGGGTTTTGCTAGCAGAAAACTAGCAAGGGTTGGAGAAGAGAAGAGAGGAAAGGAAATGGAAGGGTTTGAAATAAGGGGTGGAGGAAGAGGAAGAGAGGAGAAGAGGAAGTAAAAATTGAAGAAGAGGGTTGAATTTATAAGAAGAGAAGGGAGGGGTGGAGAGAGTGAAAATGAATAAAGAATCGAAAATGGGGGTGAATGAAAGCAAGTGGGATGGGAATATACTGCTAAGGTTTGGTGGGACAGGAGAGGGCATGCTTTGTGGACAATACTTTCACAATCCTCCAATTCCAGCTAGCCAAGGGTTGGTGTGTCTTCATTCTACTGCACCCTGTGGGAAGAAGAAAAGTATTCACAATTTCTTTTATATATATATACATTGTTTTAAAACTTTAACCATCCTACTTTTTTACTTAATGAAATTGTTCACGCTGCTATTTAGTAATATATCACCGAGTGTATATTTTCGTATATTTACTGTCATCCCTAACAGTGATTCCTTGGCCTTACTTAGGCCTTTTGCTTTCGATAGCATGTCTACAATGCACACCTTAGTCGCGTATCTACACTATATGTGGCATGATTTGTATACCTGTCATACAACGATATACATGGCATGATTTGTACACTGGTCCTCACATTTAAAGTTTTTAGAAAGAAATTTTTTATTATGTTTGGCTGACATATTTTCAACTCCTTTTATCTACCGACCCCACTGGCTTAAGGAGATTATCGGTGACAAAGAGTCTAAATAAGGAAGGAAAGAAAATTTTCATTATCTTTGTCTCGCATGCTTCCCTTCCCGCTCCTCCTATCTACCGGCCCACGAGACTCAAGGAGACATGGCTGATGAAGAGTCGAATTAAGGGAAGGTTGTGTGCTTTGACGACCTTCTAAAAGGTCCTGAAATGTGTTATGTTGGTGGGATACCCTCAAATGTGATGTTTTCATATGTATGGGATAGATTTGAGCCGTGAGATTGATAGGACCATATGATTGAGGGTGTGTGAAACTTTGATTCGTGTGCATGTTTAGTTTGTAAGTATGTGGTGGGTTTCCTTTTCAGACCACTCTCTATTAATAAAGCTCCATCTTCTAGGAGTGAGTTTACGCCCACACTTTTGTAGTTTTGTCTTTTTGAGAGTGAATTTACGTTATTTCTTTCAAATTTCTAGGTAAAAGTTCTTCTACAACCAAAGAGGTTCCGGGTGAATTTGTTGACAAAGGGCACTAGAGGCTATCTATCAATGTAGTAGAGATAATGCTAACAACAACCTTTATATTAATGCCTCAATTTTTTATGATTGATTGGCTAAACTTCCATCTCATTTTTTGAAACATATCCTTCTTCCTTTAAGAACATTAAAAGAAAGTTCTTCAAAACAAGCTTCTTGACAAACTTTCTAACTGACTCCTCACTTAAAAGTTTCTCAGGATTTATTTATCGCTGCAATGTCGAAATAATATTTTTGGTATAATATTACTTTTTATTTGTTATGTGTTTACTCTCATTGTTAAATGTGTTAAATTGTTGTTTTTAATGTAGATATCATGAATATTATCTTCCTAAAAAGTAAGAGTTTATTTCGTCAACTAAGTAAGGAGAACGTTCCCTTGCCTAAGAAGGAAAAAGGTTTGGCTACGAATGTTGAGAAAGAAAAATGAGTCAAGGAAGTGCCTCTAAAGGAGTCTCAATATGTTCTCCTCCCGCTATAGTGGAGGCAAAGTGTAAGTACAAGAGGCAAGAGTCGATAGGTAGGAGGAGCGAGAAACATGCTAGCCAAAGATAATGAAAAATTTCTTTCAAACTTTAAATTTCTCCATTACTAAAAGTTCACTTGAACTTGAGGGACTATTGTACCATAGAAAATCATGTCACATATATCGTTATTGTAGTTATACAGATCATTCCACGACATGCGATTAAAAGTAAAAAGGCCTAGGTAAGACTAATGAATCAAGATTCATAGAGAAGAAATTCATCAAAGATATACATCATACTATTAATTTATTACACAGGTTTCTTATACTAACATTTCTTAGTTAACTTAAACATTAAAAAAGTCTTTTATAAGACAATATTCCAAATAAATAACAAAGCATTATAAAACATTACAGATAATGTTTTGGAATATTCGTTGGTTCAATATTAATTTAAAGTCTTATTAAAACTTTTCGGCCTTAAAAAATAAAATATATCTCCTTTTAAAAATAAAAATAAAAAGACCTAGTACACTTAATTATCATTACTATTTTTTTAAAGCAAATATAATTTAAATATATTTGATATTTGAGATGAAAAAGTACAATTTATCATTTTATTCGGCCTTTTCATCTTTCGTTTTGATTTCATTTTGATTTTTTTATATAAATAATAAATTTTGTTTTCATTTTTAATTTTATTTTTTGGAGATTAGTGTGGTACTCTCTGGATAGCCCGAACAACGTTAAATAATAAAAGTTATAGATTAAATAATAAAATTATGTCCTTTATTATCATTTTAATATTTTCTTTTGCTCAATCTACAGTTTAAAGGTATATAACAATTTAATATATATATATATATATATATATATATATATATATATATATATTTACCATGTCATCCTATTCATTAATATAAAATCATATCAATGTACACTTTATTAGATATTTGTATAAAAAGAATTTTACACTAATATATTATGCAACAATATATAAATATATAATTTACACTCATAATTATAAACAAAATATTTTTTTATTATTTGCACCGGTTCTTAAAGATTACATTTAACCAATTTTCATCGTTTTAAGTAAGTCTAAAATGTATAAATATAGATAAAAAGAATGAATTGAAAAATGGAATATCGGATAGTTAAAATGAATAAATTTAGAAATCGAGAGATATATTATAAAGATAGAAGAGTAATCCATGTAAGTTTTTCAAAGAAATCAACAAATTAAAAATCGAGAAATTAAAGAGTGAAGAACATTGAAGTACAAAGACACGATATATAAAAAAAAAAACAAATTATTGACAAGAAGTTATGGTTGAGGATCTTCAAGTGATGTATTAAGAGATTCATCGAGACGGAGACAATTATAATACAGTTTATTGGTACGTGCAATTATAAGTAAGATGTATCAATAGAGTGGAGTGAAGAAAAATAATTGCAAAAAAATAACCGATCGAATATTCTAATATATAATTTTATTTCTATTTCTATTGTTATTCTTGTTTTTATTTTTATTTTTATTTTTATGACACTTTGGCGTTTACAAAAAATGATATATATATGATAAAATAAATGTAAGTAGGGTGATTATCAAAATTATACAACTTACCTAGTAAAAAATGCAATGAAGTAAGAACAAGCATTTTCAATAAAATTTTTTGTAATTTGAATTACCATTTTCGTTGATTTTCTTTATCAATTTATGTTTTATCCTTAATAATGAGTTATATTTATTTTGTTTAGTATTTATTTGTAAGCAATTTACTTTTACAATTCTTTGCTATAATTTACTTTAAATGTTTCATATTATATTAAATTATCTTTAATTAAAATTTATTTTATATTAAATTTTATGTTTAAATAATATATCGCATTAATTTATTAATTATATCAAACAACGAATTATTTAAATATACTTAATTAAATTCTTTATTTTTATTTTTTACTATTAAGATAACGTGATAAATTCATATAAAATCTTTATGTATGACATAATTATTTATTTTTAGAAGTTTAATTATTATAGAGAATATTAAAAATTTTAATATATTAAATAAATTATAAAATTCAATTAAAATAATGTATAACTTGAAATAAATTAGTTAATTGAATCACTATATCATAAAAAATAAATATGATAAAAATTGGTTATTTTAAAATGAAGTAATCAAGATTTAAACAATTAAAATTGTAAAAATGAAAATTATTTATGTTCTAATAAATAAATCAAAATTGAACCATTAAAATTAACGTTATGTTACACACCAAAGAAATATTATTAAATTAAAAGTTATAACTGATATTAAGATGTAAATCTTTATATCTAAAACTGTAACGAGATATCATTGAAATTTGACCTGACAGTAATTAATGCTATCTGCACCATAAACGAACTAAAATTATAGTTAATCCTAAATTTAATTATTTTATGTAACATTTTTAATATATATATATATATATATATATATATATATATATATTTTTTCTCTTTTACTTTATTTTATTTATTTTTGTAAATTACTTGATAAACTAATTATCAAAATAATTTAAACAATTTATCATATCACTCACAATTCAACTAACTAAATTTAACTTAAAATTAAATATAATAAATTCAATTTTTTTTAAGGGAAGAAAGATTAAACTGTTTAAATGAAGAAAAAAACGACAAAGTGATTAAAAATTGTTACAAAAGTGTAAAGGGACAAGCACCATACCAAACAGCATCTACATATTATTATTTTTCTAGAAAGAAGAATAAGTAGAAACTATGTTTCCTTTTCAATTTCATTAACTTCCAAACATTAGAGACAATCCTACGTCATCACCAACCATCAACATAAAGTAAAGAAAAATGGAAGCAATTAACATATATGAAATGAAGAGAATATACCCTCTTATTTTGCATATCATAATGCATATATATAGTAACTTGGCTTATCTTCAATTAATATTTCAAATTAGCTTTTGGAATCTTTACACCTCGTGTTTTGTTCTTGGTGCTTTGTTACATCTTTATTCTCTTTTAGGAGATAATTTTTAAAGCTTCAAAATATATCTTATTTAAATTATATTATATGTTCATTTGGTAAAGAATGTAGAGATTAATTATTGTTTCAAAATTATTATTTTTTATTAGTCTAATATTACTGAAGTTTTTTTTTTTATTAATCTACCAAAAGGGTTCCAACAAAACCAACATATCTTAGGACATTATAAGAAAAAAATACTCTCAACTGACGTAAAAATTAAGTCATTAATGGCAAAAAATCGATCGCTATTTTGAAATGAATCGTCGCAAAAAATCAAGTCGCTAATTCATTAGCGACCAATTTTTATTTCAGTCGCAAAATAGCAACCAAAAAGGTGGTTGCTAAATAATTTGGTCACTTATTCCTTAAAGACCAAAATAGCGACCAAAATTACGATTGCTAAATCTAGTGACAGTTTTAAAAAAATAGCGACTAATATATTTGGTCGCTAATATATTAATTGAAATATTTAAATAATAATTAAAATCGGTCGCTAAATTAGCGACCGAAATTAATATATTAAATCTGGTCACTAAATTAGAAGCAAAGTTAAAGATAATAGTGACCGATATAATTGGTCACTAATACATTAATTGAATTATTTAAATAATAATTTAAATCAATTGCAAAAATAGCCGCTGAATAATTTCGGTTGCTAAATTTCAATTGTATATTACAATATATTTGTAATGACCGAAAATTCAGTCGCTAATCTAACCAAATCTGATTTTTTTTTTATTTTGTATATCCAATTTTATAGAATTTGTACCTGCTTAATTGATCCAAACAGAACACAAATGAAAACTTAAGAACTAAAGTCAAATTATTCAAATTTTAATAGGAACTATTCAAAGTCATGCAAGCACTCAAGATTCAAAGTCATAACAGTAAATAAAATGTTTCTAAACAACCACTCAAGATTCAAGTCTTAATATGATAGAATTGGAAATTAGTCCTTTGGTATATTGTCAGTATCATGTTGACTTGTAGTAGGATGACTAGGGTCAGGCATATAATGACTATTCATCTAAATATGTTGTAAAATAAGTTGCATATGCTTCATCTACTCATCTTGTTGGCATTGATTGTTCCTCAACTCCTTCATCTCTTCTTGAAGTGTCTTCTCCTTATTATGTTTTGCCACCAATTCAACATTTAACTTTTCAATAGTCTCACACATTTGTTCAATTTGATGAAGTACTGGAGTTTTGCTAATAGAAGATTGAGAACCTGATGTAGTAGTGAACTTTTTGCTCAATGTACCAAGTCCATACATGTTTCCTTTTTTATTTTCACATCCAACAACTGAAAAGTATATTTCATTATCATCAATGGAGACAATAGGAGACTCTTATGAAGATGAGCCTTCACGCAAGTTATGTTGATGGACTTCTTC